GATGAGTTGCACACATCAAACTACATCTCACTTCTTTGTAACAGTAGAGGCGAACTTGACCCAATCCACCATCGTCGTATCTGGTGCCGGACTTGCCCCGGAGACTAATCGGATGACTTTTCCTCCACAATCAAGAGTCGATGATTAGTCGGGCTTCGACCCTACCATCCGATCTGATCGTGGTTAGCTTTGTAGGAACGGTGCTAAGGAGATGTGCCGAAAAATTAAGATGATCATGGTCGCGAGAGCCATTGAGCCTCCACACCTAGAAGATAATGAAGGTATTACTCAATCTTATCTTTACTAAGTCTATAGTGAGAGCTGGAGGTTCTTAAGGTAAGCAGATTTGAGTTTTGTGCTTCCGTTCTCGTGTGGAGGAAGATAAAGAACATTGCGTCAATTGAGAGCTCCTTAGATGCTGTACCATTGTTACAGAGTTAGAAACTTCGAACGATCAGAGCTAGAAAGTAAAGAATAACTGTTAGTTTCTAGTGTTAGTGATTAGGCGATCGTCGTTCTGCTCGTGAATCTCCTAACATGTAGTTTGAGTTAGAAGCACCGAGCAGGTGCTGAACAGCTCACATTATCAAAGACTTACGTTGTACCGACTTAGCTTCTTGTGATACAGTCATAATTGTTATATTCATTTCCGTGTAGATCTGGACACTTACATTAGCATGACATGAGTTCGACATAACACCAGTCTTTGTTAGTGTCACAATGGTGAAGTGTGCGTGTCCCTCTTTGCTTCGTCCTCATCAGTACATCGACAGTTCAGTTTGGCCTTCTTCATTGTAGCCTGTGGCTCGCATTGATGAAAGTCTTGGATCTCGTCCGGTTTGCTATCAAAAATTCCCCCGATGACGTCCCCGAAGGAAAGTCAGCGACACTCAACGCCCCGCTGTGCAATGGAGGTTTCGTGTCGCCACTGGAAGCATTGGTGAGCGCCTCAGTGTCAAGAAGGTAAGTATGAAGAGGAAAGACAGGAACTGCGCAACGTCTCCCCTTCTTATACTACTTCAAATGTCCCCAATCTCTTAGTGCTCTTATTTGGCGAGCCACTAGTCCGTATCTGTCCATTCTAAATGCCATGTTTGATTGGCTGACACACTCACTTACTAATGGAGTTTGGCGGATTTGGTCGTCAAGCTTTTTGTAGTCCGAGCTCTTCGAATTTGTCATGGGTGCGATTAATTCAGGTAATCCGGAGGACAAAGACCTAACATCTGTCAGTAGTGTCCTCTACGAGCCTGGGAGTGGAATATTCTCCCAGAGCCAAGATTCAGTTACGAAAAAGGATGGGATGAATTTTCTCTGATATATTTTCGGCTTGAAGGAGTTGTACTCGGTATTTTGGTCGGAGAATCAGCCAGCAGAGATTTCACAGCCGCAACAAAGTCGAACAAAAACTCATCACCACCAACATACGATTCACGAATGGGCTTAGGTCTGTCTGGGGGTTGAAGTCAAAAATCCGACATCTCTTAAACTCCTTATACATTTGCGACGATCCATTTCTCAGTCGATTCTACACCTGCGACCCACCTCCATACTTGGCACACTACCTATCTACACACACTCTAATGAGGAAAGTCATGATGGAAACTGGAAGTGTAAAAAAGAGGAAGAAAATGGAAGATACACTGAAGAGATTACACAAATCCCCGATGACGACAGCAACCCGACGGTACGACATGAAGGTGCAAGGCTAGAGTAACGATGAAGTCTTGGACGGCATTTATATTTCGGAGTCAATGGGGATGTCAAGGGCTCGGGCGCGTGGTGGACGAGGTTAAGGAGGAATTTGCGCCACGGCGTATATACAGCGGGTTTCTGGACTGTCAGGCTTGGCATGATTCAATACATAGGTGAAGTCTGAGATGGTCCAGTCATTCAAATGGGACGAGGCTAATCTATACTTCACGGTATTTAACCTGATTCGGCCCTGCCCCAATCGTGATTAAGCTCAAGTATGAGTACGATAGGTGTCATGTCACTAGCACGTAAATAGAAACAAAATAAACAAAAGTGTTCATGTAGCGTGAATTCAGTCTTCCCCTTTTCCTGACCGTGTCATCCTTTCATTGACTACTTTCTCAACTTCTTCAAGCCGGATCTGTTCAAGCCGACCGTTACTAAGGACCTATACTGTTATTCTCTTTGTATAATCCGGGCTGTTAATCATAGCTTCAAAAGAACTATCTTTTGCCTGTCGTAGCACCTCTCAATTTCCCTAAGCCAACTGAGGACAAGCCAAGACGATATACTTCACGTCTTGTGGTGGATATCCACACTGGTATTTAGGATTTGCCACTCCGGGGACCCTTCTTATATATGGATAAGAGAGAGAAAGAGGTGTATGTTAATTTCACTACTTGAGTCATAGACTATTTAGCACATTGGGCTCCTCTCTAGCCGAGGCCACTCCTTGCCTCTCATATTTCTTGAAAGATCATTGATATATTGCCCGTGGTGAAGAGCCATTCAGCTCAGTATTTACCCGTGGAATTCGGTCACCTTTTCCACGGAACCTTCTACCCAAAAAAAATAAAAATGGTAGCAATGGAAACTGCGTACGCGAGAAAAAGTCTCATAAAACCTGCAGCACCAGCCAGACGAGGCCTAGACACCCGGACCACATGAGGTGCGCATATTCATCTATATCTCCCTTCTTTGTAATTGTCGAGGACGATTTGATCCAATCTATCATCTCCGTATTGGGTGCTGGGTACGCTCAGGAAACTCATGGGATGGCTTTTTCACCATGATCAACGGTTGGTGATGAGCAGGGCTCCGACCCTACCATCTGATCTGATCGTGGTTAGCTTCATGATAATGGTGACAGGGGAATGTGTTGAGAGATGAAGACAATACAGACGGCGAAAGCGGTTGGGAATCCCCGTCGAAGTGAGGACTTTGATACTCAATCTCGGCTCTGCAGACTCTACAGTGAGAGCTCGAGGTTCGTAGGGGACGTCACTGACAAGTGTTGAGAATAGTCCACCTATAAGGATTAGAGTTGAGGCCAATATTCTCACTTCTCATTTGTATTGCAATACTGCTATGGGCCCTGCTCAGGTTTTAGTGGATGTTAGAGGGCGAGTTTCCGTAGTTGGTTCTTTTTCTGCCTATTCTCTTTAAGGTGACGATACTTGCTGTTTTCCAATATTTTGGGTCTCCGACTCCTGATGAGAAAATAGTTGTTCTTCATTACGTAACTTCCACGCACTCATCTACTCCTGGTTATTATGGAATATTAATTTTTTAAAAATTATTTCATTGTCCTGATTTGGCGCCCCAAGGGCACTTGCAAGTATCTATGAACTTGTATTTTTACGAAAAAGGAGGCCTCGAAATTACGCCCTCAGGGCTCCAAACATGCAATGGGCAAGGTAGTTTAGGTGCTTGAATATGAAACACCTACACGTGACAAAAATGCCAATATAGTCTTGGCATTACTCAGCAAACACCTACACCCCATATATATAGATCTCGCTGTAGTTACACTTCCTGTTCCTTTCATAGCCAATCTATCTTCATTTCCCACCTCGTGATTCTCGAAGTGAAAAAATCCAAAATATTTCCACTCGATGTTTATGGTTGCCTATTGACTTTCTAGGAAGCGCAGTCCATCATTAGTGCCATCAATGTAGATTATTCACAACCTCCAATGATCCTAAAAGTTGCTCGACATTTCCCTTCCCTCAAGAGTATTTCGACCACCACTTCATCATGAATTGTTTTATCCAACTATCATCTAAGATTCAATATCTAATTATTTTTGATGCTAGCAGGATTAATTATCATGGCCTCGTAGGACCAGTTCTTGGCTTGCATCCACTCCCTCTTCACCATTTGACCATCGAGCACACGACATAGCTATTGTTTGGGCTCCTGCAATCTGTGGCCGTATAGACGTTTTGGACAGTAGATTTCTGGTTCATTTCTTCAATTTAACTAACGGTTGAAAATAATTTCTCGCGATGAATTTGCACTGCTTGAATTCTTGGATCCTTGAAAGGTTTATTATTATTGTTTTTTCTTGGTCTTAGACTATGTAAAGGCCGATGTATGTTAATGCAGCCACCTCACGGAGTAGACTGCATTTTCTGATACCGCTTCCATGCCACACATGCGTGTGGGACAGAGTCATAAAAGCCTCTGACTCGCCCAACATTATGGTGTCATTATTCCCTGTTCGTAAGCGTTTGCGTGGAGTAGAAAACGAATTAGCGATCCCCTCCCTACTTTTAGAGAGGTGAGGACATTACCTTTTTGTCTAACTGAAAAATCTATCTAAACGGTATAATATTGTGTCATCAAAACCAGATATTTTCAACGGAGATTGGATAATAGATAGTTGTTAGCTTCATGGTGGCACCCTGTTCATTTTGGTTCAGCGTATTAAATTCGAAGAGACTCAATTTAGCAACTACGACATGGATGTTAATAGATTTCAGATCCTCGCAAGGATACTTCAGTGCATCACCCTGAAGGCGGCTCATTTTTCTTTCAGCAGACTCTCCGCCTGAAGAACGGGAATATTATATGGCGCCACGCCATGTAAAGCATCATACTGGATCTAACTCCAGGCTTATAGGCCAAAGTCCGCTTACCTAACCAGCATACTTTGAAAAATGTCCCGCCATTCATGCACCGGCCCGAATGTAACATTTGGCAACTAAATTGTCTTACCCCCATCCTTCAAAGACTCTGCTCAATTGCATGCCTCGTTACAGGTACCTAGATGACTAAGGTACTACAAACCGCCATCTCTTAATATTCTTTATCAAAGGGGGCACCTTTAACTTTATTGACGTGCAATTGCCATCATCCGCGACCCGCGACAAGAAAAAAGGATCAGCCCCGAGCAAGGACGCTCGATAAGGTTGGGAAAAGTCTGTTGACCCTTTCCCCACTGTGTCGCATACAAGAAAGCTGATGACAGTAACTTCTAGTTTGTAGCAATCTTATCTAGAGCGCTACTCTTTTTCCAAAGGATGCCAGTGCAAGCCTCATTACCGCCTGTCGGCAACATACGGTTCATACCACTTTCTTACGATCCAGACAAATCACAGACCTCCGCCCTCCGATTAGTGTTCGCCCTTCGCCCTGAGTGGAAGGGTGGTAAGATTGAATTCATCCGTTTCACTGACGGTATTACCAACACCCTGTTAAAAGTTGTCAATAACGTACCTGGACAAACTGACCAAGAAATCGACACCCAAGCTATTCTCTTACGAGCCTATGGTGAGGGATCAGATATTATCATTGACAGAGAGAGGGAAGCACAGAATCATGAGGTGCTTATGCATCACAAACTAGCACCGCAGCTACTGGCCCGATTCCAAAATGGGATGCTTTATAAATTTTTGCGGGGCACCGTCACATCCCCCTCGGACTTACAGACCCGGGATGTAGGTCTAGCTGTTGCAAGACGGCTAGGAGAATGGCATGCTGTGCTTCCCTGTATACCAAACCCCGTAGAAATTATATCAACTGAAGCCATTGGCGATCAAGATGCAAAGAATAGAACTTTGGCTACAAATGGAATTAAACTTGAAGTACAAGATCCAGCTCATAATATCGTTACAGGAAATATAGTGCCCAATATCTGGACTACTATGCAGAAATGGATCTATGCTTTGCCTGCGGAAACGATTTCGGAAAAAAATCGGCAAGAAACCCTAAGAAATGAAATGAATCGCCTAGTTCCCGAATTAAGCAACAGGCCAAGTCTTGGTGTAAATGGTGTAGGTACTTTCTACTAGACTACCGCGATCTGTACTACAATGGAGATTCATTCCAGCTAGGCCTGATTTGGTAAAGTATAGATGCTAACTTGAGAAGCTGGTATTTGCCCACTGCGACCTATTAAGTGGCAATATCATTGTTGAGCCTCGTGCCGAAGACATGGTAGATGCACCGCTTACTGTAAACTTCATCGACTACGAATATGCCACTCCTTCTCCCGCCGCCTTTGATATCGCAAATCATTTCGCCGAGTGGGGGGGTTTTGAATGTGATTACAGCAAACTGCCTACTAAGACTCAGCGAAAAGAGTTCATCCGTCAGTACATAAGCAGCTACGCGACACACATAAAGTCAGGCATCTCTCCGATTGATCAAGAGTTTGAAGCTGGGCGGCTTTTAGAAGAAGTTAACATGTTTCGGGGAATCCCAGGATTTTATTGGGGTATTTGGGGGCTTATTCAGGCTAAAATTTCACGTATAGACTTTGATTATTCTTCATATGCTGAGCTGAGACTTTGCGAATACTGGGACTGGCGATCAGAAAGTGACGGATCTCGTGCAGCTCAAGGCAGAGAAATTCCATTGCGCGAAGCAAGGTGGGCCGAAGAATGATAAGAGACTTTTAAATATAAAAGATGTTCGTGGTAAATCTCAATGCTTTAATGGAAGGTACAAGATGCGCCCAGGACATCTTTTCAGGCCTTCCGCTCATATACAGCACTCATGAGTAAATAAGTCTTAAATATATGCAATGATTGCAGTTAAAATAATAAGCGATGACGGTCATAGGTGGGGGAGGGAGCGAAAATGATTTCGAGGGCATTGATATTGTTTCTTCATTGAAAACTTGGTGGAAGATCTATCTCAGGTAGTGCAAAGGCTGTTTGGTGCAGAAAAAGTTTGTCAGTCACAAAATTAATGCAATGATGTAGCTCAAATGAGCGAAAGATGCCTGTAAATATAGTTCAACTTGATACAGAATCAGGTATAATGACTGTGGCCAATGTTTCCCGGCATCCATACCTATGACTATTGATAAGTGCCAGGACGCGACGCTTTTTTTACGTCAGATTTTAATTTCATGTGCAGCCATCTAGCTATGACATGATACCATAGAAAAAGAATACAATTGATGACTCAATGTAAATGAAGAACACTCAAATGTAAGTGATCTGGCAAGTGTGATACTTGAATGTGTGCTTTCGCGCTATCGGATCACCTGAATTAATCGCACCCATGACAAATTCGAAGAGCTCGGACTACAAAAAGCTTGACGACCAAATCCGCCAAACTCCATTAGTAAGTGAGTGTGTCAGCCAATCAAACATGGCATTTAGAATGGACAGATACGGACTAGTGGCTCGCCAAATAAGAGCACTAAGAGATTGGGGACATTTGAAGTAGTATAAGAAGGGGAGACGTTGCGCAGTTCCTGTCTTTCCTCTTCATACTTACCTTCTTGACACTGAGGCGCTCACCAATGCTTCCAGTGGCGACACGAAACCTCCATTGCACAGCGGGGCGTTGAGTGTCGCTGACTTTCCTTCGGGGACGTCATCGGGGGAATTTTTGATAGCAAACCGGACGAGATCCAAGACTTTCATCAATGCGAGCCACAGGCTACAATGAAGAAGGCCAAACTGAACTGTCGATGTACTGATGAGGACGAAGCAAAGAGGGACACGCACACTTCACCATTGTGACACTAACAAAGACTGGTGTTATGTCGAACTCATGTCATGCTAATGTAAGTGTCCAGATCTACACGGAAATGAATATAACAATTATGACTGTATCACAAGAAGCTAAGTCGGTACAACGTAAGTCTTTGATGATGTGAGCTGTTCAGCACCTGCTCGGTGCTTCTAACTCAAACTACATGTTAGGAGATTCACGAGCAGAACGACGATCGCCTAATCACTAACACTAGAAACTAACAGTTATTCTTTACTTTCTAGCTCTGACCGTTCGAAGTTTCTAACTCTGTAACAATGGTACAGCATCTAAGGAGCTCTCAATTGACGCAATGTTCTTTATCTTCCTCCACACGAGAACGGAAGCACAAAACTCAACCCTGCTTATCTTAAGAACCTCCAGCTCTCACTATAGACTTAGTAAAGATAAGATTGAGTAATACCTTCATTATCTTCTAGGTGTGGAGGCTCAATGGCTCTCGCGACCATGATCATCTTAATTTTTCGGCACATCTCCTTAGCACCGTTCCTACAAAGCTAACCACGATCAGATCGGATGGTAGGGTCGAAGCCCGACTAATCATCGACTCTTGATTGTGGAGGAAAAGTCATCCGATTAGTCTCCGGGGCAAGTCCAGCACCAGATACGACGATGGTGGATTGGATCAAGTTGGCCTCTACTGTTACAAAGAAGGGAGATGTAGATAGATGTGAGCTCCTCGTGTGGCTCCAGTACATGAATCAACAAAAACCAAACTGGACATCCATGGTTAGGCTTCATGCTTTATTTAGAGCATAATACTGTCGAAGTATCAGTCACTGAGTCTTAGTAGACATGTGACTTGATCTGTAAGCTGGGCTAAACTAGGGTCTACAGAACTTATCGTAAATGTAGAACTCAGCAAAGAGTAACATAAGTAAACCAAATCAGCTTTAGGTATTGACCAGCAGTATAGTTTTCTAACCATATCTTCTTACAATAATTTCCCAACCAACGCAATAATAAATTGGAAAGTAGCTAAGTTCTATCAATGCCGACATTCTGGACTCCAAAGAATAAGTTTCCAGAAAACTCCACTTACTATCCATTAAACCTGACAAGGGCTTTAAGTAGTCTCGCAATCCAAATTAGAAGCGAGCACATTGGGCTTAATTCGTATTTGCTTGGAAGAAAAATACTAGGAGTCTACGATCCATGCTGTCCGTGTGGCCATCAATTACAAAAATCCCAAGCATATGATCATGTCCTGCCCTAGAAACCGGCTGCTTCGGCGACTCACCTGCAAGTCCGTCACCAGCTCTCAGCGGAGACAACATTAACTAGGTCATAGCACGAAGCATGACAGGAAGGAAAACGAGACAAGGAGTGTCGCTTTCCCACCTCAAATTGGAGTATTGGATTTGGAATTTTGGTTATGGGAGTCTGTGGGAGCATTTATATTCTTTCTTATAACTAGCTACTGGTTGTGTAGTGGGTCACGCAGTGAGACCGAGTCGGGCATGTGGGAAGCATGATCTTGGCCGTGTACACCGTTCCTTGACTCCTAGGAGATATATAGCATAGCTTAGGACCTAAAATTTATAAAAAATTTCCTGCCCTAAGTGATCAAGCGGTAGGGGTGAGATCGGGAGACAAGCCAAAGACCAGTCCTACGAAGCAATGATAGACAATCCTGGCGATATGAAAAGAATTACGCAATGGATTCTTAGTCATGGTTGGATAGATCAATTCCGCATGACAAATGCAGTCGAAATGCCGATTAGGGAACGAGGCAGGACTGGCACAAGGTTGGGGTCGTCACAGGGGACGTGATTGGTACCTACACACGGCACTACAGTGTAACTGTGCTTCCTGAAGGATAAATTGCAAATTTCAAAGATATAAATCAGAAAGCTGAGAAGGGTTTTACCGAGAGGTTTCTTCTATGTGAATATATAGATAGGTTTATAGTCACCTGCATTCGCCTGTAAGGCGCCAAATCAGGATAATAAATACAAATCAACGCAATAATAATTGATATTCAAGGTAAGGCAAAAAACATCATTTTTGCCAGAAAGCTGCGCAGCGTTCCACGCTGCCTGCATCATCAATTTGAAATTGTGATCATTATTTTTACAACTTCATTACCCTCCTCTCATCTTTTCCCTTTCCGTGCTTCAACATAGCGAGTGTGGGTAAATCCAGCGGTTTTGACGCGTCGCGAAATGCGACAACGGCATCAACAAACAGCTGCAGCGGGGTGCAGATAGCTCCAAGGGATTCAAACTTGGAAATAATCGGGAAGCTATTAAAAAAGTCCAGACTAATCGTGATGGGAGAGATGGATGAGGAGGACCTACCAACTATGGAAGACGTAAATGAAGCCGTCAAGGCATTCAACTATCACAAGAAGACTTGGACAACGATGTTACAGACCCCATCTCCGATCGAGGAGAGGAAGATGGCATTGGAGGAGGTGGTAAAGAAAACCATCGCGGGCGCCGCACGACAAGCAGCTCCTGTTGTGTCGTCAGGATGTTGAAAGTAGAGGGTCTACGACTGCACCTATTGCTGCCTATTAGTAACAGTGACTAAGCCTTATGTAAGGTGTGTGTAGCGAGGTTGAAGCAAGGCTACGATTCTTTCACACACACACATGGGGTTAGGGAGTTAATGGATAGAACATATTATAATCACATCTTTGTACATAGCATAGATTTATATCTTCTATATTTGCTTGTCTCATACTCTTCTCTATCATCATCGCATCACAGTCGCTCTCCACCTTTAAAATACAGGGAAGCCGCTACATTGGACCCACGCGTCGGTCGTAGCTCTGCAAATGGCGAAAACGGCGGTCAAAATAAGAATCGATGGCGCTCAAAACTTGCAGCCACAAGAGCTACTAATAAGGGCACAGCAACACATTTAAGGCGCATACGCGATTCGCCAAATGCGTAGCAACGACACTGAGGTGTTCGTCTAGTCGGCATCCCAGAGAGACGCGGCGCTCAACATGCGCCAACTCAAAGACTTTAAGATCCTACGGCAAGATTTTCTCGTCGAGGTTTCTTGTGTCCCTTTGCGGACTCGAATTGAAGTAGGCAGAGATGCCGAAAACCACGCTATCATCAGGGAGATTGAGATAGCATCTAAGGCTCGAATTCCTGGCCTGGTGATTAATCGAATCATGTGGCTACATGATGGAAAGGAGCACCAGCGATCGAAGAATAACGGTCGCAATCGAAGATCAATTGTGGTCAGCCTCCCATCAGAAGCAATGCAAACGGAGGTAGTTCGAAAGGGCCTTGTCATTAACGCCATGCTCTTCACCGCGCAGGTGTGGTCACCACGGGCCCAGCCAAAGCAGTGTTACAACTGCAGTCAGTGGGGGCACACGCAGGCGTCGTGTGGAAAGGCAGCTAGGTGCGGTGAGTGCGCTGGCGCTCACAAAACTCAGGACTGTCCGAGGGAAAGGGTTTCTTGTGCGAACTGCGGCAAGGAGCACCGTTCGTGGCAGAAAGCGGCATGTCGGACCTACCAGGTCTACAAGGGAAGTGTGGAGAAGGCTCGGATGGAGCTGTTATCGAGGACGGCGGAAATATGGAACGAGAAACCTACGGTGGCGCCAATGCGAATAGTCGAAACGACTGATGATCAAGGATTCACTTTGGTCACCAGTAAAAAGACTGAAGGACTTAAAAGAGGGCCAGGACGACCGCGTAAGGTAGTCGAAGCCCCAGTGGCACCAATCATCGCCTCGACAGCAGCACCGCCATCGGGACCTACTCTTCGAACACTTCGAAGACCAACGCCGAGTGAGGAGGTGCCTTCTCTTTTCAATTTCTCATAACGATGGTCTGATTGAAGGGGGAGTTAACGAATTTCGAGGAAAGTTTATAAAATTATAGTTGAAGGGAACATCCTCCGCATTAAGC